GATGGAAAAATACAAATGCACAATGCAATACCTCTTTGAACAAGCTACGTGTTTTAAAAGCTTAGGCATTTTTTTGCACTATTCCATAAACATGACTTCTGAAGTAACTAGAGATTAATTAATGTACTTGTTTTTACCCAAAAGATATTCACCCCTAAATCATTTAATCTTTCTCAGTTTACAAAATTGTGAAGCCTATAATAATACATAAGTTAGATTTATAATGTACCAATGTTGTCTAGTCTTTAAATTCACAGTCAAAATGTGGGAATAAATTATATTATATTGGGATAGGCTCACCATATTAAATGTTTAGTGTCTCTTAAATAATCATGAAGCTTTCTATAAGTATATTATATTTCACAATAAGACTTTTTTTTGTTAATGTTGTAATGACCCAATTCTGAACCTGTTTCTTTTTGGACTTAACTAATGTTGTTCCTACCAATGGTCATTTGGCCAGAGTAAGTATATGTATCAAGTCTGCCTTCTCAACTATTTTTGTAAGCATAACTGATAGCTGTTAAGTCAAAAAGATCCTTCAGTAGCCTCTCACATAGATTAAATGTGATGGTGATTTTTAAATGTTTTATATATAGTATACAAAACTGAGTTATATCCATGTTTTATATTAGGAAATCTTGAGTGGTATCTTTCTTTTCAAATTTATGTCATCTACGACACCCTTCCTGCATTCCTGAAATATAAACTGATAGTGTCCTGGTTAGCCAAAGTGAGGACAAGGAATCAATTTCCTGGAGCACTGAACTCAATTTTCCCTTGACTTCCTCCAAAGCCTTCTTAGAAATAACTACACAGGGAACTTTACAACTGTGGAATCATTCTGATAAGTGACCTTGAGAAATTAACATGCTTATCCCTCTTACATCCAAAAGTCACTCAGTTCTCCTGACATCCTAATTTAGATAGCAAGAAGAGACTATTACCTGAGTCAGAATAAATCCCCAACCAACAAATATTTGCTTTTACCTCTTAGAGAATACATTTGTATTTAATGGTTACAAAGCATACTCAATTTTATAAACAGCTCTCTATCTTGATTTTCCTTGTATATGTGTCCAGTGTCAGCCATTTGAATTTCTAAAGACTTTCTGAAGTTATTTTTTGGGCAGTCATCCCATTATAAAAAAGCTAACACTCTTGAGAGTAGGCATAATGATTGTTACCTATGGGACTGACTCATG